TTGAATTTGGAGCTTACCTCTTCGTCTTCTTCTGACGCAGACCCCTCGGCGCCTCAGGAGTATAGGTTCAACACGTGGGAGAATACGTGGCCGTCGGGATTTGGTGCCAGTTGGCGTTGGTGCTATGTCTGAAGTCGAGGCGGGCCCTTTGCACGCTTCGAAGCTAGTTAGGGCGCGCCTAGAGAAATTTATAGTTGCTCCCCAGATGCCCCCGCTTTGACGATATATTCATGCGCCCCCCTGAAGCTCGAATCGGAGTGATTGGGGACGGATGGGTAAGGCTATACCAAGAGTACCTTCGCTTCGATTTGCGCTTCCCCATTGAGCCAGTGTTAGAGGGCGTGATGTAAACTTACCATTGTCCGATAGGGCGCCTCTCACTCACCGTCATTTTATATACCATCGTCTTTCGATACATGTGTCACTTGCACTCTATTCAACCCACCTTTAGGCTGTTTCAGTCCTTCTTTACCATAGCCCAGTAAGAACTATCTGAGCCTGCAAAGGCGCACGGACCGAGGTTTCCATTTCCTCATTGACGGTCAAAAGCTCGGGAGGACTTGGTTCGACTCCTTCTTCTTTGTTAGGCCCCGAGAGACGCCCTTATTCGAGATTCGGAATTCTCCGATGCTTGAGTGGTCAATCGGATCGGAGGCCGAATTCAACAACCCTGTGTCTCTTACCACAACAAAGGAAAACATGGCACGCGCGCTCTCTGCCACCCCAATCGATCTTAGCATGACCGACACTTTTGCGGGCGTGCTAGCCGAGTTTTATAATGACGGTAGCTTGACACCTTGCCCCCTACACATGCTTGTGACGCATCGCCTTTTGTGCCTTCATTTTATTTGCGCCTAGGCGCCTTGCGTTGTCAATGCTAATACCTTTATTTGTTGCAGGTACTGACTTCCGTTCTGTGACCTACCTCATCAGATCGTGACTCGAAGCGCACCCTGCCGTGTCACGTACCCGCACCTCAAAATTGGCTCCCAACACGGGCAAAGCGTCAGCAAAGCGTCCAACCCGCATCACGCCTAATGCCACGGAGCCGGCGCCTCAAATGACAGACGAGGGGTCGGGCGCCTCGTCCGCTTCTAGGACCAAACGTCCTATCTCTGCATCGGCCACTTCCACGCCCCCTGTCACTATCCGGCCCCAGGCGCCCGGCGCCTTCGCAGGCTCAAGCAGGCAGAGGGAAGGTTTGGAGCCCTTGCCCCCGGGGAAGAAGGCCAAGGTGGTCAGTATGATCGAGTCTGGGGTGCCTCCCAGCTTGGTGTTGCCCACCGTGGGGGAGCACACTGGCCAAGTGATGCCTCCCTATTTGCATAGGCCACGCTGCCCCTTGGTCAAGGTGCCCGTCGATGTGCCCGTGCTGGCAGCGAAGGATCTGGGTGCCTCGATGCAGATGGTCCGAAGTCACGCTGTAGTGATTGAGCGCCCCTTCGACTCGGTGGTGTCCAAGCCATGGCGTCACATGGCCAACCATTGCATCCAGGTATGCCATATTGCCCGCCCCTTCTTGATATGCAGATGATGCTCCTGTGCGAGGACACGTCCAAGGCTTTCGAGCACCTGCACTCGGAGCACAACGAAGTGGCTGTCTTAGCTAAAGGCCTCCGATCAGATCTGGATGTCATGCGCAAGAAGGAAATGGACCTAACTCAAGCGTGTACCGAGGCGCAGAGTCAGGTCCAGGAGATGGCTGCTCGTCTCAAGGAGGAACGAGCCGCTGAGCGCGTCGAGGTCGAGAAGGAGTGTTTCCACAAGTACTCTGCTGAGCTGGAGGCGGAGAAGGCGGATCGCGAGCGAGCGGAGAAGGCGCTTCGCGAAGAAAGGGATCAAATGGAGCAGGCCCTCCTCGACCTCCAAGTGGAAAATAAGAAAGTGAAGAAGAGCAAAGCGCACTACAAGAAGGAGCTTAAGGACGCACGGGCCCCCCGCGATCAGTTGGTTACTAACTTGGCCAAATACAAAATCTCGGATGCTGGGAAGAACCTTCAAGCTAACACCGTTATCAACATGATGAGGATTCTTCAACACAAATTCCATACCGAGCGCCCCGATGTGCCATGGGACTCATTTGCCTTGCTCCAATACATTCTCAAATTCATGGATTCCAAGCGCTCGGCTGAGGAGGTGGCGCCTATTCCTGAGATAGATGGCGAGCCTGGGACTGCAGGGGAGGTGCCCCCTGAAGAAGGCGCCTATTCCCCGTCGAAGGGGGAGAAAGGGTCCGGAGATGAAGAAGCCGATGCAGACAGCAAGGCTTAATGAATGTGCCTCTCTCCTTTAGCGTTTTTTTAAGCGCTTGTTGCATTTTATTTTGAATGAACTTTAGCATTTAATCAGATTTTGTTCAGGGCATGGATAACCCGCGCTCCCTATCAGAATGAGGCACTTTCATTGACTGGGCGTTTTTTTTATCGATGAAACTACTTATTAGTGCGCTAGTTCCGGGCGCTTTACGGTTTACCAGTGCCTAAAAGCCAAGATCGAGGGCGCAGTGTATGAGGGCGCATTACCATACGTTAAGGCGCAATGATTAATGGGCGCTTTGAGCGAGCTAAGGCGCAATAATAAATTGGCTCTTTGGAGTTACTAGGGCGCAATAATAAGAGGCGCTTTGGAGTTACTAAGGCGCAATGATTAAGAGGCGCTTTACAATTACTCAAACGATGACTTCTCTAATAACATCACAAGAATAGAGAGCGCATTAATTCCAGACGCATCATCTACCCTTCCTTACTCCAACAAAATCAACAAAATTTAAGTGGGAACACGGGCGCCTTCAAGTAGTATAATTGGCCAACCTTGCCCGTCCTCATCCCACTTGGCTTCCCACTCCCGCCATTAAGCCCACGTCTCCCTACTTCTCATGCGCATGCGCCTCCCTCTCATGATACACTCTAAGGTTCTGAGCATTCCACGTTCGCTTGACAGGCTTTCCTCCTAAGCGCTCCAGTTTAAATGTCGTCAGGCCAATGACCTCTCGGACCTTGTAGGGCCCCTTCCACTTGAGTGCCAACTTTCCCTCGCTGGCGCTCGGCCTGAAATCCCTTATCAACACCAGGCTTCCTTTACATATTTGGTGGAGGCACCTCCTCCTGTTATAGTACTTCGCCACTTGCCTCTTCATGGATTCCAGGCGCACAGAGGCGATATCTCGGTGCTCCTCCAGCATGTCCAAGTCTTGCACCCGCTCTACGTCGTTCAGCTGTGGCTCGTAGCTAGAGATGCGATATGTTGGGATTACTGCTTCGCTTCCATAGGTGAGTGTGAACGGAGTCTCGCTCGTCGCGGTCTTGTACGTCGTGCGGTGCGCCCAAAGGACCCCCAGGAGCTCCTCTACCCAGCGACCCTTCGTGCGTGGAAGCCATGTAAGATGGTCTTGTTAGCTTCCTCGGCCTGGCCGTTGGCTTGGGGATATGCCACGAACGAAAATCGCAAGATCACCCCTATTTCGTCATAGAAGTCGATAAATCCCTTGCAGTCGAACTGCTTGCCATGGTCAGTTACAATGGACTATGGCAACCCGAAGCGCGTGAATATGTTTCGGTTGGTGAACTTCCGGATATGGGCTTGAGTGATATTTGCCAGGGCTCAGCTTCCACCCACTTGGAGAAATAATCTATGGCCACCACCAAGTATTTCAACTGCCCCGGTGCCTTAGCAAAAGGGCCTAAAAAATCCATGCCCCACTGGGAGAAGGGCCACGCGCCCACATTCTGCCGGGATATGAACGTCATGGGCATGAATTTGGCATTGATGACAGCTGGCGACATGTTCCTTTGCGCCGGCCCGGATGGTGGGCCAGTAGTATCCTTGTCGAAGAATGTTTTTTTCTAAGGTCCTCGCTCCTGCGTGCATGCCGCAAGCGCCCTCATGTACTTCCCTGAAAGCCTCCTGACTATCCCTCTCGTTAAGGCATTTCAGATAGACCCCGACATGTAATTGCTTGTACAATCGCCCGTCTATGATGGTGCACCTAGCCGCCTTGCGCCTCACCTGCCACGCCTCCCGTGCGTCCTCTGGAACACGCCCGTTTAGGAAGTAAGCCCTGATTGGAGTCATCCATCCATAGTCCTCCTCAGCCGCGCCCCCTATGGCTAGCATTTCCGCCTCTTCTGAGGGGGGGCTCCTTGGTTGTGGCTAAGTCCGAACTACCATCAGAAAACTTTTCTTTGGTTTTTCCTTTAAAACCTTTCGAATCCTGTCCGGCTTCCCAAAAAAATGACGGATATTTTCAAGGAAGAGGGTATTTATTATGATGACTATCAAGCGGTACGTACTCATCTTACCTTAATTTTGTTGTTGTTATAATTGTTTTATTTAATATGTATACTAATTAATTTATATTGTTTTAATGCTATCACAGGTTGGAGAGGACGTGGATATATAAAATCAAATATATTATGTTGATCAAGGACCGATTGATCCGTATGTGTTATACGACCAAGATAATCATCGTTCAATGGATGTTTGGAACTATCACAAGGTACATATAATTTATTATCATTTTTCATTTTTATTTTGTTAACGTAAAATAAATTTTTTAATTATTAATCATTTATTAATCATCGTTCAAGTGGATTGTAAAATAAATTTGTTAATTGTTAACCGTATTGATCATTTTCAATTGTTTAGAATAATACAATGTGTCACTTATTTAGACTCTTTATAAAGAGATGCATGCCTAAGGAAATGAGGTTTTAAGCGATCACATGATCCTCCCATGACCTGGAAAAATCAGGTATTAAGAGATCCTCGGATCCCCCCTTTTTCTGTAAAAAAGGGTTGTATTTCTAAGGAGATGTATAATGAATTTTAGTTAGCTCCATATGTTTGTTAATTTATATTGTTTCTTATAATAGATTTATTCATTATAAATAATAAACTTATGGTAACTTTAAATTATTCGCTAAGATGCATACTGTATAGTCCGCTATAGGGGTACGAGCAATGTGCTCGCATGGAACGACGTCATCTTGCCCTTTCTAAAAATGACAAAGTTGGATTCTATTAGGCACTTTAATGGGATAAAGATCGACCGCCAACTCATCACAACATTGTTGGAGAGGTGGCGGAAGGAGACAAATTGCTTCAACTTTCTTGAAGGCGAGATGACGATCACATTGAAGGACATCACCATTCTAACTGATTTGCCCATCGATGGTGATGTTGTGTGTGCGGGCTCTCATGCACCAGATAAAGTTGGGAATATAAGCGGTTGGCAGCATTTGATATGGACATCCACGAGGTTGACAGTGCCAGAAAAGGGAGAACATGATGAGGAGGGTCATCCACCACTGACCAATGACTAATGTTCCATTACTTGGTTGACACCGACGATCAAGCGTAAGCACAACCCTGATGATGGAGGCATTCCCCTCACGACAGAAAGTTCAGACGAGGACAAGGAAATTTATGCCCGTGTCTACCTCATCGGCATGATCGGTGGAGTTTTCTTCCCCAAAATATCCACATCAATGGTGCACGCGAGTCCCACTCATCTGTCATCATATATTGGAGTGGCACTTGCCGGATTGATGCTTACGGCAATTTGGACGTAAGCAGTGCATGCCCATTGAGGGGATCGTCAGTCAAAGGGCTTACCACGGGAAAGATGGTCGACAAGGAGCTACTAATTGGCCGCATGAGCTGAGGGACTATATCAAGATTTGGAATAGTATACAAGATGAAGATATTGTCATTTCAGCTATGGTGGGGAGGATGAGGTTTCATGACCCAAACCTGGAAACATACCGAAGACAATCTGTCCGGTACATGACGGCTAATGGTGTGACGGACGGTGCTTTGGTCAGTAATTTCGTTACATTAATTCATTTATTTAACTTTTGGCGTCAAATTGGTAGGCTATATATCATTACTTTAAGATTACTAACTTTGTTAATTGTTGCTGTTTAGGTTCATGAGCTCGAGCGTATTCACAGTATAACTCGTACTGTGAATGATTTGCCTAGGCGAGATGTGGGGATCATTTGTAAGATAACAAACAGTCTCCTAGGCTGTGTTTGAGCCAACTACATAATATGAAAACAACTTATGAAAAATGATAATGATGATCTATGCGCCTATATCTTGGACTACAACGTCAGGCCCTAGATTTTGAGTCATAGGAATATATCTCCTTAGAAACACAACCTTTTTGACAGAAAAATGGGGGATCCGAGGATCTCTTAATACCTGATTTTCCCAGGAGATGGGAGGACCACGTGGTCTCTTAAAACCCCTTCTCCTTAGGCATGCATCTCTTTATAAAGAGTCTAAAGTAGTGTTAGCAAAAAATACTTCACCAATGATATAGAACGATTACTGGTCCACCATAGACTATCAGCAAGCTTCATCCTCTTGAAATGAAGTTCCATATGCACCATCTCTTTGACCACTTCCAAGCTGAATCCAAGCCTAAGATGTCAGCCCTAATCCCGACGTGCCGATCAGAGATGATTGTTAGGTTCGTCCGCCTGGTGACGTGGAGTTGAATTTGTCTGAAGAACCATCCATAGTTGTCGGTATTCTCTCCCTCAACAATGGAAAAGGCTAATGGATAGACACATCTATTTGCATCTGCTCCGTTGGCGATGAGTAGAGTACCATTGTACTTGTCAGTAAGGAATGTTCCATCCACTTGAATCACTGGAACATAGAATGGAAAACCATCAATAGATGGCTTGGATGACCAGAAAATACGCTTAAAATGAAATTTATTACCGGGCTCCGACGAATGGATTTCTTCATCTTGGTAGCGGGGGGGGGGGGGGGGGGGGGGGGGGGGGAACAGTGCCAGTGTTAGACACCTCCAATGCCAAAATCAATCGGGGAAGGAATGCATATGATTCTTCTCAGTCACCAAACATGGCGGCCATTGCTTTCTGCTTTCCATGCCACGGCTTCTTGTAGTTAATAATATATCCATAACGACTAGAAATGTCGGCGATGATGGTTTTAACCTTCAAGTCGGGCTCTTGCTCAATTAGATGCTTGATAACTGCGGCAACTACCCTAGATTTCAACTGTTGATGGCCTTGGGATGTTATGGATGACGCACATGTGTGAGTGTTCACCGTACGGGATATGACCCAATGACCGACTCTCTTGCTCTTGATGGCCCGAACCCTATCCTTGCATCCCTCGTGATGATTTTGGCATCTAACCATGAGCCTCTTCGTGTCGGAATGTGTTGTATGTCATTCAAAACTCCGAGTCATTGCTTCTGTGGCAATAGCGTGTTGCACCTCATTCTTCGTTCCAAATTGTTGGCCCTTCATAAACCTAGTGAGCGGACCCCATACTGTACCTCTAGCGGCTCCATGTCGGCCTCAACATACCAATCTTCATTTGGAATGTGATTGTATTACGGGATAGGGACACGGTCACGAGGCACCTCAGCACCGTCTGCGTCTGAATCTGGGCCAGAATCATCATCACCTTCAAGAGGATCGAAACTATCTGCACTGACATCGCCATCATCTTCTTCATACTCAGGTCACTAAATGGAATTGGGAGGGCATCTTCCATCTGATCCAGATAATGAAATGCACTTTCATAAGCTCCATAAGTGTAGTTGTGGTAACTACCACCACCTTGGTAGAAGTTGTACTCGGGTTGGTACTGGTATCCTTCTTGTTGGTTGCCATGGTACCGTTCGGCTTCTTCTTCATATGATGGGAAGGATTGATGATGACCGACCTCCACCTCCATCATGATACTACTGATATGAATTAGGGTCTTGGTACTCCTGGTGGGGTTGATCTTCGTATAATCCACCCGCACCGTGGATACTAGATGTTTGGCCATCTCCAGAATGACCTCCACCGCCTTCGACCGCCTCATTGTAAACGAACATCTCTGCCTGTTTAATGTTGTTGGTCATCAAAAATTGGAGCATGGCATCAACGTTCGCCTGAGTGGTAATAAGAAATTCCTCATTCCACAACGACCCATCATGTCTGTTTTGATATCGATACACCATACGATCAACGCTTCTCATACCATCCATGCAGGTAACCTCAGTACACATTTGATGGAGCTCTTCAAGCATCGGTCTATTAGCGACCTTCTTTTTATAAAAATTGTCACCAACGTAACGCACCCCATTTACGGTCTCTTCCGTGTAACCATTCCACCGTAACCCAAGCATGAACTTTTGGAATGCCATTTGCAATAAAACCGTAATTAAGTTATTACCATAAAAATAAAAAATCACAGTAAAAAGTAATACAAAACAAACATATGAATTAACGTTAATCGCAAAAACTCAAAAAATGAATAGTGCACAACTGAAATTTGAAGTAGAAGAAGAAGAAGAAGAAGAAGAAGAAGAGGAGTGAAGATTTGAGTGTTCCGTGGCTGCCTTTTATAGGCAAATTTGAGACGAAAAACCGCGCGGGGGGAGAGGGGGGAGCGGTTTAGAGTCTGCCATGATAAACCACATGCTTGAGGTGCGGTTTCTGCTGCCGACAAAGAACCGCACCCCGAGCATGCGGTTTGTGCTAGGGCAGCCATAGAAACTGCTTCCTTATATGGCGGTTTGCCCATATAAAGGAAACCGCAGCCTCAACATGCGGTTATTTGTGAGACACTTATCCACCGCGCGGTTTTAGTGTGAACCGCCCCTTCGGTGGTGCGTTTTTTTTTTTTTTTGAATCAGTTGCCCTCATCTTATTAATCAGAAACTAGCAAGATGCTAGGAGAACCAAATACAACGAAATGGGTATATTAAGGATACCCAAAAGGTCTCAAATCCTCAACTAACCACTACTGCTGGAAACAACTACTACTACTAACAGAAGCCACCAGCAAATGAACTCAATCAGAATAGCACATCACGAGATGCCAACACGCGCCAGGTCTTCAAGTATGCATCTAGCTGCTCCAATGACCAATAGATCACTCTTGATCAGCTCCTGCAATCCAGCAACTGAATGAGAAGGGCCACCATGTTTCTGTCTGCATCTTTCCTTCCAGATGGAAGCACCAAACCATCCCTGCAACAGCACCATTCTTCTGCTTGCAGAAAGCAGAAGCAGCCACCACAGTAGCATACCATGACGTTCTATAAAATTTTTTTTTGCGTTTTTTTATTGATGGTGGTAGTTTTGTAAATTGTTTGGGTTGAGTGGTAGTTTTGTAAAAAAAAAAAATTAAACGATGGTACTTTTGGATTTTCTCTAAAATTTCTCACTTCTTTTTCTTCCTATAAACCAAAGCATCAAAACTCCTCTTGATTTCTTTCTCTTCTTTCTTTTATTAAAAACTAGTGTGGGCCCCGGCCAGTTGGCCGGAGGAAGGTGAGGTATCGAATTTGATAATATAATGGGGTGTATAGCTTATTGTTGTATAGTTTTTTTTTTTGGGAAATTCGTGATAAAAATAGTGAATTTAGTAGGAAAGAGACATGAATGATGCAATGAATCAAAAATCGGCCTTATGAACCAAAACCAAGTACATGTTACCTTGTGAAACAATATTGTTTCTGGTAATATGATGAGGTGGAGTAAGTTTTATAGAAACCGAATTCCAAAAAATCGAATAAAAAATCTCCTATCCCGTCGGTTTTCGGAAAATGAGCATCTCACAATCGTTGCTAGCTTTTACTCGGCCCGTTGGTCGATTAATTTGCTTTATAGAACTTTCATCTTGTCGTCATTGTGCTTTTTGGTTTTTGTTAGGCCATGATAAAATCTAAGAAAATCAAGAACGAATAACACAATTTGGGATAGGAACCGTCGTTGTCGTATCCTAGAAAATAGTGGTAAACACAGACTCACCTGCCAAACTGGTTTGGATTGAGATTTTTATCGGGTATCAGGGAACCATATGATTATAAATTAGACTTGATCAAAACGGGCCAAAACTTGAAATTCAGCATGTTTGACCGACCCATGCCAAATTCTAATTATTCTTTACTTTTAAATTTTCTATTTGAAAATAAAAAATAGTGAAAGAAAATAGATTACTACAATTTTCCATTTGCACATCACTTATTCGAGAATAAAACCATAAAAATTCAAAAGGAACTGAAAATGTTTAGGAACGTTTTAATGTTTAAAATAACCAAATAGATCGTTCTGTTTAGTTTTTTACTAACAAATACCAAACGATTCCCTATAAAATACACTATAATTTGATCATTATGATATCAAATAATTATATAATATATATTTAAAATTAGGAATGGCAATTTCGACCTGACCCGATTTACCCGGCCTGTTTGACCTTTTTGGAGCAGGTCAAACCCGCCCCGTAGGCGGGACGGGGCGGGCATGGGTATCTCTCATCGACCCGACCTGCCCTGACC